CCCATATTGATCAAAAGCTGAACGTGATTTACACTCCACAGGAGACACAGGCTCTTGTAGAGCATTGGCTTAAGGACTGCAGCCTTTAAGAGTGCTCCCCTGAGGTTTTAACTTACTGGATTAGGTCTTACTTGGAAGCGTGTGTGGGGTCAGTCCTTTAAAAAGTGCATTTCAAAATGGAATGGTTTTCAATCAAAAAATAAGTACAGCATGAGAACACTCTGATTTTTGAGTGACAGCACAGCTCTGCGCTTCTGGCCTGCTGCACACATAGTTTCTGCTTCATGCCCACACCAGAGAGCAAGGCAGGACTTTTGCAGACCGTTGCAGCATACTTTATGGACCCTCCATAAATTATTGATGAAACAGCTAGTTTTCCATGCATGCATGAGCGACACACCTTATCTTTCCCTTTGGAGCTTAGGTGAGACTTGTTCATAATACACCTTCTGCTAAAAATGTACTAGGCACGCACAAAACATGGTTTCCAAAGGTCCTTTGGCCAAAAATCAAGTATTCATCACGGAAACACTGAGATTGTTCTGCTAAATTTTAAATTTCAGCCCACTCCTGTTTCAGTATTAGAAGTGTCAAAAATCAGCTCTCCCTTTTATACTATGAGAGAAAAAAAAGTATTTATTTCCTTTCTCTCACGTGAAAACAGCAGCTTGCTTTCTTTCTTGAGTTATGGGTTAATGTCATATTTGGGGAATGTTAAATACAAATCCAAGAAATACAGGGTTCAAACACTATAAAGCTGTTGGAAAACAGATAGCAAAAAGGAAATACCTAGGCAAGCATTTTTATTGCATCCAAAATTCCAAATGCTGTAAATACTTGATGAGTTTCAAATTAAAAAAGAACAAAACTCATCTATTATCAATGCTATTTATCAAGTTTTAGAGAGGATGAGAAAGAGCCCCACTATCAAGTCTTAGGGAGGACGAGAAAGAGCCCCACAACAACCTGCATGGAGCACTATATTATGAAGGGCAGTGCAGCGGCAAATCAATCCCTACAGAGCTGCTTTTCCCTGTGTCCCGCAGCAAGGCACATAACAGAAACCTTTACATAAGAGTGTGAAGAGCAATGTAACAGGACTGGTTGTGGTCTTACAGGTTTCTTCCCTGCGAAGTAGGGGCATCACATGGGGGATGTGCTTGAGAATCAGCTTGAACCATGATCTCTCCCAGGGACGGGCCAGCCCCTCCTTGCCCTCCCCTCAGGGACTTTGGAGAAAAGAGTCCACTGGCTCCAAGTCATTATTGTTTTAAGTCTTGATGAAGCCTTTTTCCCAAGTTTTCCTGCTTACACAAGGCAGTACAATAACGGAAGAAGGAACTGGAGCCTATTGGCCTCATGCTGGATGAACAACTTGATTCTGACACTATGGATTCCTTTTAGGGGGGGATTGAGATGGAAGACAGTTTGAAATTCAGATTCTAGGCTGCACTTTCAGAGCAGAGGATTAGAAAAGAACAATTTTGAAACCTGATTAAATATTATTCCATCTCAATGTATTTGTGTTATGAAAGGACCAGGCACACACCAGAGCTTAGGTCTACAAACTCTGTGAAATCAATAGGAAGTGAGGAAGCTTAGGTAGGAGACAGAAATGTCAATATTCTGTTGGACCTAGGCCATGGTTTGATAGGGTAAAATATGGTGCAAGATGGCACAAGACTCTTCCTCAAAGACCTAACTATGAAGAATAAATTACTGAGAAGTGAGAAATACAGGACTTCCCACTATCATAGACTTAACCTTACAGATTAGCAGGGTCTGAAGAAGTGTACAGAAGGCACCTTTGCTGTAGCAATAAAAACAGAAAACTTGAAGGAAAAAGAAAAAAACATTTTCTCGGTAGGCAAATTAAAAGTGGATCCACAGGTTGCCATGGCTACAAAAGTCCATTTACTCTGGTAGTGTTTTGTAGCAGCTGAACACAAGTTTAAGTGACTAAGGAGAAAACAGGGCTCTGTTTATATTATTCCGTTAGGTTTGTATAATTAGATCTTTCAACTGCAAACCACCAGTGGTGACCATTGTCTGAATTGTTCATAAAAACTCAGTGGACTGATGAAACCCTTTTTAGAACTACCCCGTCATATCTCTGTGCTTCCGCAATCATTTGGGATCAAATGACTGCTAGCATGTCGCACGTGGCAATTTGCACAATCCAGAACTCTCATTTTGGGTTACGGTAATCTAATCAGCAGTTTCCATGGCTGGTCTGAGGGGAACATGTGTAAAGCTCTGTCTTAGACCATAAGGCAAGCAAAAACCTTAGGCACCCAGCCCTGTGGGGGAGCCTCCATAGTCCTGTCTCAGAAAAGTGATCTTACCCTCCCATGCCTGCAGGGAGTTTCTCTGCTTGTGGGACAGGCAGAAGAGTGACTTGTCTTTGTATAGACTAAGTTGAAAGAGGGGAAAATTTCACCAACAAAAACTGAATGTGTGTGTAGGGCAGGAGACTTCATCATTAAAATGTCATGTTGGATTGGTAGATGCAAGGGTCAGTCCTGCCCCTCTCTGTCAGTGCAGTAGTCTCCTCTCAGAGCTTTCATGTCCAACATTCTCTTTTAAAAGATGAAAACTGAACTTCTGACATCTGGCATGCCATTAGGAGGGAAGGTCTTGGCAGTGTGCATCAGGCAGCTGTGATGGGAACCTGGTTTTGGTGTAAAGTGTGCAGAGAGTTGGGAGAAATTGTCTTTGCTGCAACCAGCAGATAGAGATGGCTATATGGATTTCTTCAGTTCCTGGACTGCTCACATGGATATTTTTGCTGGGAGCCCATTGTGATAAATCTTGTTCTGTCCTGGGCTTCAGAGCACTCCTTCCAGTTATTGTGTTTTACAGGAAAAAACCCAGCAAATTTAAAGACATCTGAGTGTCTATGGGCACTTTCATAGAATCTGGATGCTGAAGTGAATTATATGTCACCTGGGTGAACATCTCCAGCCTTCCACAAATCAAAAGTTTATTTCAATGTGTCCAGTATGAAGAACCTGTCAACATATTTAAAGTGGGTTTTTTTGCAGTCTTAAAAAACATTGTGTGAGAAGGTCCACACAGGGCACTTGTATTTTTTTTTTTCCTGGGAACTGCGTATAAAACAGGTAACATTTGTGGTTTCCTACATGCCAACCAAGCAAATTGGATTCTTGAGGTTCAAGCTGGTCACTCATCGTTACCAACAAGAAAAGTTCTGCGTATCCAGTCATGCCTTCCCATCAGGGTATTCTGAAGACACAGAGTGGCAAGGATCAACTAAAATGATAGCTTGGCCTATAGAGCTATGATTTCTGGTGACTAGTGAGATGAAACAAACCCATTGCAATGCCAAATTACTGGCTAAGTTGGCAGAGCTTGCAATAAAAAAAATAAATTAAAAATCCATTTGTATATAAGTTTAATAATATTTTAATATAATCAGTAAGACACTTTTGAGATTTTTCAAAGTAGAAATACAGCTTAAATCTCACCCCTCAAATTACACTGGGCTTTTCTGTTTGCTTAAGGATGCACAGGAGATGGATTCTTCTCTCTGTATTTGGCTGTATGCACTGTATAGAACTTTAAAGTTTTAATGAAGTCATTGCAATTTAAAAACACCTCAATAGAACATAAGATTGGTATTTTAAATGCCTACAGAATCCAGCTTTTATAATTGTCCATGTTGTGCTAAAGTCCTTGAGAACCATGAGAAGGACATCAACCTTCCTTTTTTTAAAGAGATAAACATTCAGTGTTATAAAACTTGTTAAATCTCTAGCACTACCAGATCTTCAGATCAACCTACCCTGAAAGTTTGCATCAAAAAATGCAAATAATATGCCAGCCTCTGCCCCTCCCCCCCCAGTTGCATACGATAGGTCCACAGAATCCGATTACTGTTTATTTTAAAAGCGCTGCTGTGAAAGGGTGGGCTCAATATCTGCTATCGCTGTTGGCAAGAAGGGAGGCAGGGACTGTCGCCTTAATGAGTGTTTGTACAGTAACCAGCACAGCGGGATGCCCAATAGCAATAATAATAAACCTTGATCAGAGATTTCAAACATTCCTGTAACATCAGACAGACTGTTCTGACTGCTGTACAACCAGGGGCCTCAGCTCTTGTATGAAATCCTTAGATTACTCCAGAGACACTTCTGAATCATGTTTAACTAACCCAGCTAGGGTACGGCTGTTTTCACTTCCCTCATTTTACTTGTGCCACGATATTGCTTTTAAATCAGTGGCAATTTTGGAAGATTGGTTACTTCACACTGTACTCACTTCAGAAACCAACCTACACGCCACGGGTGCTCACTCTGCAGAGAGCAGGATGGACAGGAGCATGTGCATCACCCCAGACCGGTGCAAAGCCTCCCCAGAGCCCAAGCCGGGTGGAAGGCCCAGCAGCCAGCGAGCATCTGATGCCGGGTGTCCCACAGTCCTGTGCTCCAACGCCTTCCCCACTTTCCTTCAGGGGCCGCCCCAGCGCGGGAGCTCTGTGCCCTATTTTGGGGCAGCGACATCAGGGCCCCGACTCCTCACTCTCTCGAGCATGACGGGCTGTGTGGCCCCGGCCGCGCCGTCGGGACTCGGACCCGGGGTGGGAGTCAACACTTCAACGCCTTTCTGTTTCCAGCCGTCGGTAGCCCTTCGCCACCTTCCCCCGGACAGCGGGAGCTGCTGACGGACCCGCAGGCACCGAGGCCAGCGCTCCTGTCTGTGCCCTGCGCGGCTGCAGCACCGCGGCGGCGGACAGCTCCGGCCGGGGCCGGCAGCGCATCCCCCCCAGGGCGGCGGGGCTCAGCGGCGGCCCTGCGGCAGCCGGCGCTGTGGTTTTAAATGGGCGGAGCGGCGGCGGGCGGCGGGGCGGGCGGTGGGCGGCCCGCGCTGGCCCGCGGCGCCCATATAACCCCACCTCCCGGGCGCGGAGTGCCGCGGCAATTGGCTGGATGTGGTACTTGGAGATGTTGAGCTGGCTCCTTCCCCCCATGTCCCTGCACACACACAGGGGCGGGTGGTGCGGGCGGGAGCGGGAGGCAGGGCTCAGCCCCGGCGGCGGCGGCGGGGCTTCCCCGACTCGCTGCCTGCCCGCCGCCGTGCCCGAGCCGCTCCTGCTGCTGGGCTGCTGCCTGCGGCCGCAGGACCCGACCGAGCCGGGCCGAGGGGAGCGCGGGCGGCTGCTGGCGGCGGCCGAGATGATGGCGGAGGGCGGCGGCGGGCCGGCGCGCAGGAAGGCGCTGTCGCTGCTGGAGGCGGCCCGATCCCGCTACGAGAGCCTGCAGATCTCCGACGACGTCTTCGGGGAGTCGGGCCAGGATAGCAGCGGGAACCCCTTCTACAGCACCTCGGCCGACTCCCGCTCCGCCGCCTCTTCTCAGGACGAGGAGGACGACGAGGAGGACGAGGGGCGCCCGGGGGCGCCGAGCCCTCGGGGCAGGGCGGCCCGGCGTCGCTCTCCCCGGGCGGCGGCCACCCCGGCGGAGCGGCGGCGGCAGCGGCAGGTCTGCGGCGGCAGCGCCGTCCAGGGCGGCCCCGGCCCTATGGAGGAGGAGGAGGAGGAGGAGGAAGCGGAGAAGGGGGGCTGGACCCGGTCGCTGCGAGACGTCCCACCCCCTCCCTTCAAGGATGGCAGCGGTACGAGGAGGGCAAGCTGCCGGGGCCGGGGGCGGCGGGCCTGGGCGGCCATAGGGGTGCCCGTGCGGGGTGCCCGGGTCGCGGCGCAGCCTTGGGACGGCAAGCCCCGCGGGCCTGGCTGCCGGCCTGGGCTGCTGCCCGGCCCCGGGGGCGGGAGACGGCAGGTGCCTGTTGCCCGGTGGTTTCTTCCAGGGAGCGGCCCCGCCGTCCGGCCGCTGGTGCCCGTGCGAGTGGGAGGGCGAGGGGAGGCCGCGTGTGCTTAGTCACAGGCATCGCTTCCCCGGCGGGGCTGTGGCGCTGCCCCGAGCCCGGCAGCGCCGGCTCCGCCGCGGGGAGCAGACAGGATGGGGTGCCCAGGCCCCGCTGTGGCTGTGCTGCGGTGCGCGGGTGGCTCCTCGTCTCCACTCCCGGCTGGGGAAAGCCGCTGGTCAGGACGCTGCGGGTGACCTGCCCTGCGCTGTGCAGAAGGTGGGACTGGGATTTCCCCCTGGCTGCAAGGTTTTCTGTGCAGCCGTCCCTAACCTTAACCCTTCTGGCGTGGCTTTCGGGCAGAGCGAATACCAGGAGAGTGGTGAAATGACACGGCGCGGCGTGCAGCAGCAGTGCACAGCACGGAGATCTCCGTGGACTGGCTGGTGTGGCGAGTTGCACCACTGGTTTGCCGGTAGAGCCATTATAACATATCTCTCTGCAGGCCTCGACAGCCTGGTTGACTGTGCAGTAGAGCAGCAAGGCATTGTAAAAAAAAGATTAATGGTTATGAAGAGCTGGGATGTGAACTTCAGCATTTGCGTCTGAGAATAGGATGTGATGATTGCTGTCAGTTGAGTTGACAGTTTGCCTGGCCTAAGGTTCCTTGTCTTTGCTTTTTGTTTTTTTCAGTAGTGTTTAATTCCCTCATTTTGCTGTTAAAAATAAATGCAGATGAGTACTGTACTAAAATTTGTGCAATGGGACAGGCAGAAACCTATCTGAGGAAGCAGTTTGGGATTAGAGAGGAAGGTGGAGCTAGCACTGGAGCCCAGAGAAAGTTCAGTTGCGTTTCTGACCAATGTGCAAATAAAAGCTGTCTACCTCTAGAAATGACATCTAGGAGCATAAAATGTTTAGAAATCACTGTTAGGTACTTCTGTAAAGAACTCCTAGGTTTTATTGAAGGTTCTCATTCATAAGCATATCTGAGGTTCTGGACGATAAGCTTCGTGGTGTTACGCTATTTCATCATCAGTTTTCATTTAATTTCTCTGCCTTTGATGGCTTATTTCTTCATATCATTACCTTATAGTAATATCCTTTTTAACAAAGAACTGGGATTACTGTTTTAATACTGGTTTGGAAAAGAATTGAGTTGGTGACCTGTTAATCCAGGAATTCATATTTCCTTTGACATAAAGGAGTCAGATTTATGGTTGACGGAAATAATATGGATGTCTCTTGAGGAAGGTGTATGTATATTGCTGTAAATATTTCCTCTGGTAATAATAGATGGAGAGGAGCTCGCTGCTGCCCTTTCATTCTGTTGATCGTGATGATAGATGCTGAATGTTCTTCATAGCATGGTGATTTGGTTTGGCAGAAGTTCAGTTAAGTGTCGTGATTTGATATGTGTGAAACATGTACTCTTTGTGATATGTTTATTTCTGACTACTCAAATTTTAAGCTTTGGAAACTACTGCATTGCATATAGCTAAGCTCTTGTAATTCTAGTTTGTAGACTGACTGCTTTAGACCATGCAGATATCATCACTGGAGTCATGCTAAACATATTTGTACTGGCACCCTTGTTGCTTCATTGGACACTGTTGTGACCCAAAAGTTTGGATCCATACCTCCTGAGGAAAAGGTCTCCACTGAGGTGAAGATAGCTGTCCTTTGCAGTGACAGCATGTCTTTCAGTCCCTAATGGAGTACAAGCAAATATGGGGTCAGACAGAGCACTGACAAGTCGTATTCTCAGTTCAAATATGCTGGATGTAAAATACTTTCTTTCTAGGTTCCGAGTTTAAAAGGAAGAGATTTACTTGAAACTGAGATAAAAAATATCTTTGGTTAGAACCAAGATTTCAGAGTGTTGCCTTTTGGTCAAAATCTCAAGGTTTGCCTAGTAGCAAGTACTTGACATCATCTGATGCCAGAAGACAAATGTCTCATGAGACTTCAGCCCCAGTGATGCTGGAAATAAATCCTTGAATTAGCCTGGCATAAAACCTAGTGTCAGCCTCTGGTTTGGGGGACTGCTCCTTCATGAGAGGGAGAGTGGGGGGGGGGAAGAAAAGATTTAAGTTAGTTAATGACAATGAGCTAAAGCTCCCATGAGAAAAAATAAAGACCCACTTAGAAAACTCATGGTCTTTTTAACTACAAGTAGAAAATACTATCACTTTTTTACCTTTTGAATAAATTACTTAATACTGCCCTTCCCTTCCAAGCCTCAATGTTAAACTTATGTCTTTAAAAAGGATTATATCCATCCCTAGATTTAATCTTGAGCACAGACAGGCTAACTGATACTTCATCCCAAAAATATACTAGAGACCCAGATGTGCTGGGGGCTGCTGGCAGTGTGTTAGATGGTTCAGTATGTCCTCAATCTGCAGTCAGTCACTGCGTGTATTCGTGGTGACGCCTGCCTTCCTTGTGTGTCAGATTCTGACAAACTGGGAAAGGTCTGGCTTGACTTATGTGTGAGGAGGTAAGTGACTGTCATTGCAATGCAACACAGTACTGTTTGTGTCCCAGATTTTTGTTTTCTGCCCCTTCTTCAGGGGTCTCCAGTTACTGTTGTTCCTGTTCCATTTAATAAAAATAGTGGGTGCTTAGACTCCATTGGGGGAAAAAAAACAAACAACAAAAACCAACAAAACAAACCAGCATTAATAGCTGTAGCTGACTTCCTTTGTTGAAATCCAAAATAGCTGTTAACTTTAACACAGAGGTTAGAACAGATGGCTTGCTGGCACTTTGTGTTATTTCAAGTTAAGCTATTCTGCGAAATCATTCTTTTAGTTGCTGAGAAAAATCCCAACCATATTGTGGTGCCCTGATTTTTAAACTGGTTGCTTGTGGCACTATGTAGTTCTGAGTAAAACAGGTTGAGGAAACAATTGCATGCCACAAATATCAAATGAGTAATGTGAGCTCTGAGGTACTGGGATATCAGTAATGGATAGGAGATCTTGGAGGCAGTTGCTGAAATAGCTTTCCTTCACAAAGAGCCCCTGGCTACAGCAGGTCCGTGGATAGGTCACTGTGTGTGTTTGAAAGGCTGATGGCATCCATGATCTAATGTTGGATCCAAGCTAATATATTGATCTGGTTGTAGAGTGTGGAAAGAATAAGAGAACAAACTCCTGTTAGGATAGGGAAAACGTAATTGAACTAGAGAGGGAGAGAGAGCAAGCAACAACTATTACAAGCTAGTATGTGCCAGCAACTCAATGCAAACGCTTCACTTCTGGTTGCTCCTGCTTCAGATTTAATTGGTGTGCTCTTCCTTTTATTGGGTGATGCTTTCCCTTGTTAGCTCAGTAATCTGACCAGGAACTGTTTGGTAACAAATAGAGGCACTATTGGTTCTGGTCTTTGGTTGTGGAGGGTCTTACAAGGTGCAAATATCCTGGTATTGCTGCTCCTTGATTTTCGTGATTTGAATTAGCTGGTGTTTTCTTCCTAGGATCCAATACTTGCTATATCCATGTAGTTCAGTGACCAGAGAATTTGACCTAAGATATCCGAGCACTTCTTTATTGTTAGGATGTTATGTTATTGTTATGCTTTAAGGTGGCAACAATAGCAGGGAAGCCCAAGCAAAAGTTAATGTTGAAGCCTTGAAAGTTACAGGCAATTAGTGCTATTGTTTTCTTCATTTTTTATGCCCTCCAAATCCTATCCTTAAGCCTATACCCAAGGATAAAATGTTAAGAATGTTCCTTGCTGAAAGAGCATAGCAGCTTCTCTTTGAGTTGCATTTAGAGAGTGAAAGTAACTTTTATGGATTTCCAAAGTATTTCTCTGAAACATTAAATGTGCCGTAAGTTACCAACCTTTGAAGAATGTATTCCAGCAGAACAGCATGCTCTCAGGAAGAGGTCACATAGACCGTGCTTGGCAGTCTTGCCACCTTGAAGAGGTTTAAGCAAATATTTAAAGTAGATTTTAGTCCAAGAGCTTGGACAGGCAGATGGGAAGGTAGCATTCCAGCAACAAGGAACCTGGAGGAAGAGCTCTTGGGTCAGGCTGGGCCATAAAAGAGGGAGATACACTTGCTACCACCTAACAGTGGTGGTGCATTGGTTCAAGTCCAGAATAGAATCTGAAGGTTTTAGTCTTACTTGATTGATGTCAATACTTAAAGATTTTAGTGGAAAGAAAAGTATGAAAGCCACTTAGTCACTTAGGGCAGATTCTGCTTCAGAAATATCTGGGCCAAAATCTCTGGCTGTAAGTGGATAAAGTGACACAGATGTAACTTGTTCCTGCTGAATTAGGTCATCAGAGAACTTAGCTGCTTTTGACTTGCATAACCATTGAAAATACTGGGAAAAAAGACGTATCTGTATAATCTGTTCTTACATTCTAATTAGAAATTACTTATAATGACAGTATCACAACACTTACAGGAGGATACGATAAACATGTCACAAAGATGTACATTACTGCTTTGCAAAACCTTTATAGGATGACTTAAAGGCTTGAAGTTTTGCTAAATAAGTGAATTATGCAAAGGCTTAATATCTTATATGTCTTACAAAAGCTAGATGTGCTTCTCAGGAGGCTTTGCTGACTTTAGAACGCATTTTCCTGCTTCTGTCATGACTGAAGTGAACAAAGTACATACGACAGCCTTATTGATTCTAAAATTTAGTGCAACTCAGCTGTCTGTGTTCCCTTCTTCCTTTTGCCCATACCTCTGCCATTACATGTGCATTTGGGGAATACCTGAATGTGTAGATAAACTTCACAGCAAAAATCCCCAACCCTGTTTTTCTCTGCTTTTATGA